ATGCTTAGCATAAAATTTTCAAAAGCTCATAACTTGGTATCTTCTATGGTTTGGTAGTGTTGAGGTGGTGATTTTGCTGTGTTGGTCCAGGAAATACATCTATCCCAACCATGCAGTTGGTACAATAAAAGATGTCACCCATAATGATTCTTGCCTCTTGCAAAAGCACTTAAGTAATTTAGGCTTAAATCCAGTTTTCAGAAGTTACTGAGGCACAAAAACTTGACTCGCTGAATGTTAGTGAGATTTTTTTTAAATACTCTTGAAAATGTTATGCTTCAGCTCCCTTTTTGATGTTTGCTTATGACCAAGATATATGTATGCTTGACCTTATATTTTAGTTACAAAAAGAAAACTGTTTGCTGTGGACTTTATTTACAGGCCACCTTCTCCATTATCTCTTCTTGAAAGTGCTGTCTTTGGAATCTAGTGGTTTACTGTGCTAATGTATGACAAATGTAAGGATAACTCAGAGTGTTTCTAGTCCCTGGTAGAATTTTGTACCTTCAGATGTGGCTTTCATTACTTTGTAAATTAGTTGCCTTTATACATTTCAAGGAAAGGTATGATGTGCAGCTGTTCTTAAACACTTAAGATTTCTTGCTGTCCTTTAACTCTTAATCTGGTCCTTTGCCACCTGAAGTGACCTAGCTGATTGTGTGTTAATGTTGGTTTTATTTGCTTTGCATCCATGTAGCCAAACTGGTTCCAAGAAGACCTCTTAGCTGATAAGACTCAACCATTTAAGGTTGTAACTTCACTGCTCATCAGTCACTTTAGGCTTTGCATTTGAGGTACCTAATTTATACATACAGCGTAGTCTTATGATATGTTGTGGGGGGAGATGAGAAACTTATCAATGAATACAAAAACATTATTTTTAGACTTGTTTGCCAGGTTTGATACTCTGCTTTACACAGTCAGCTAAAAGTATGCTTCTGTATGGTTAGTATTGGAAACTTTAATGCCTGATACAAGGATATAGGCAATAAGGCTTCAGTGATTTTGTGTTCATAAAGAGTTCATTCTTCTCTATATTGTACCTTTCCATGTTTAATTGCATTTTGATGGCATGAAGGTATTAAGCATTTAAAATACATGCAGATATCTTAGAAGATTCAGCCCTTCTGTCTTTAAGACATGTTAGTAACTAGAAAATTGAAAATTGGGGTCATCCTCCCTTCATAACTGGTGAGGATGTTTTAACTTTGATTAACTAGGCAAAGAGCTAGTTGATACTTTGGGCTGCTCTGTCATTAATGTTTAGTAAATGAAAGTATGTGACCAACTCTAGTTTAATTTCCATTGGAGAGGAATGTAATGTTTTCCCCAGAGTCCTCTCCACCCTCTGACAGGGCAGGAAAGATATCTCTTTAGGCCTTACTTTGTGATCCCAGTCCTGCAGGTGAGCATAGCTCACAGTCCTAAACTCATAAAATTGCTTTTTAACCCTTTCACTGCAAGTATATGGGTGTAGGTAGCACCCTTTCAGTTAGGCTACTGGATTGCTATTGATACCAACTTCTCACCTTCCCTCCTTCCAATTTCCTTAAGGAAGAAGGAGCTGCACGCACCCTTTCTGACTCTCCATCTTGTATACATTGTGGCTGCCTGATTCTTCCCTCCTGTAGCCTTTCCTTCCAGTTCTTTTCCTGCATCCCCTCTGCTCGTGGCACGTGGTTATGTTTGGTGCGTTGTTCTATTTTTCTCTGTGTTTAAAATGCCTGTGCTTTGATGCATCTTCACAGCACTGGAACGTGGATTGAAAGCCCTTATTAGCACCATGTGTGGTCAGATGTTTGTTCATACGGTAAGTTTCATCCTACAACACCTAACAACCCTCTCCCTTCTTCTTATATCAACAGTTTATAATTAATTTCTTTTTATCAATCCATGAAGCATTTTTGGTCCAATTAAACAAAACTCCATTAGGCATAAAATGCCACCCATATGCTGCCCTATCAAAGAGCTTGAACATTTAAGCACAACTTTTATTACTTTGAGAGTTTTTGATCAGATGACATTGTTGAAATTGTCTTGCTAACTAGCAGTTTCTCTCCTAGCAGTTATGGATTGTGATGAAAACATGGGACTAAACAGTTTAAACTGTTTCTGTTTGCAGATGTTCTCAAACAATGATGAAGCTGTGATCAACAAAAAACTTCCGAAAGAGCTGCTGCTTCGGTAAGCTACCTTCCAATTTGTGAACTCCAAGCATTTCGCTGTCTGTTTACCACTACTGGCTAATTTAGCTGGTAGTTCATAAATCATGAGCTTGGATTGCTTCATTTAGAGAGCCATAAACAAACATGAAGCTGATCAAAGGTTTGCATCAGCAATAGGTTATGCTAAATGTTATTTTTTTTTATGTCCTTAGGAAATGTTAAATTAGCTCATTACCTTTTTCATAGATGACAACTGTATCTAAAGAAACTTAATGAAAATAAATGGTTAGCACAGGCTTGTACAGTTTGCAGTAGGATTCTACCTGTGTTAAGTGAAATAGTTCACATTAAACTAAACATTTAAATTCCCCTTTCCCAAATTCTTAAAACGTGAAAAGCTCTTGGATAGTGGCAGTCAGTCCCAGTTGTTGTAAATAGAAGCCAGGTGCACATCTTGCAGGTTGCTGTGATCATGGTAATATGGAATCTGGAATATTTTTCAGCCCATTTCTTAGACAGTAAGGTAACATTTGCAACCTGTTGCTAATTTGCTAACATAGAAGAAGCTAATTTTTTTCCTAACCTGAATGGGGTGGTGGGGAAAACCAAAAAACCCTAAAACAAAAACCTTTCTCCTTTTGGTTTTTTGCCCAGGCTAGAACATAGCTTCATTGCTAGCTACCATTTGGTACAGCCTGTGCTGAATTCATCTGAATTATTAAAATGAACAATCATCTTAAATGCATGTAATTATTGCTTGTTAATATTCAACACTTAATGGAGGAAAAGGTCTTTGGAGGTGAACCCTGGCATGCAAAAACAGTGCCCACCTCATTTCAAATAAAATGAATAAATAATGCCTAATATTATAGAATGATCTTTGCTTTTGCCACATCCCTGTTTCCAAATCTAAATAGCGTAACTAAAATGGGAGGGAAAATAATGATTTCTATGAAAGCCTTGGAATCAGAGGCTCCAAGTCCTAAACAAACTTTTTACCGGCAGGTAAGTTATCTACAATTCGTGCATGTGGCTTCTGTCACTATGATATTAGAATTTAACCTCTGACTCACTTTTCTTGAAGGGGTAGCTGGTTTCTTATTGGTCACTGTTTGGAGTGTATTCCCTGCTCAAAGGGAATTAATTCATCTACCTCAGAGCTTACTCTAATTGAGTTTTTATCAGATGGTTCACATCAAGAACCATGTTTCCCACAACTCTCTTCAATGGTATTTCACACCCATCCCAGTCTCATCCCTTTGGAGATCACCTAGCAGTGTAATAAATCTTGAACTGAAATAAGGACTTATTTAAAATGCTTTGTTCTCAACTGTACTTAGTTCTTCATGTTCATGTTGCTGATAATTATTTTTTTCAAATTGCAAGTGAGAAATTTAGTAAATGGCAGTTCTTACCCCAAAAGTTTACAGTGTAATAGACCAACTACAATCATTGGATGACGCAAACAAACTAGAGAAAAGAAAAGGAAAATGGGGTAGTAGAAATAATAGGATGTCTTAGTACAGACTGTGCAGTTCTTTACCATTAATAGCAGTCATTAAAACTCAGCACCAACCCCAAGCCCTTACCTTTGGAGGCTTCTGTATGTGTGGTGGAAAAGCAGAGGCTTAAAGAGGGCAAATGGTGGCTTTTTGGATTTGGCTGGGAATTCTTGCATTTATAAGCACAGCATGAGTAAATGTGAACAAAAGGTTCATTGGGAATGTCATTGCCAGTAAAGCAAAAGCAAGAATTGATCTCTTGGTAAGACAGTTTGATGGATAGATAGGCCAGGGCAAGTTTAAGAGCATTGATAGGACAAGCAGTGTCTTCAGTGGAAGAGAAGGATCTGGTAGAGGAAGTTAAAGGTGGGGCTGACATACTTAGCAACACTTTGAACAAATGGGCAAATGGCAAGTTTGCAGGCCCAGGGCCAGCATGGAGGAGAATGATTAGCACTTGGATGATATTTCTAGCATTATGATCAGAATGGAAAAATCTTGTGTGGGATCAATAGGCCCTTTGAGAGCTCAGGGAGATGGTATTTTATAGCATCCCAACTGGTAGTTATGGAATAGAAAGATTTATGCCGTATAATACGAGAAAGGACTCTTTCGTTTTGGTTATGTCTACAAGAGAATTTTTTACATAAAAAATTCTTCTTGTGTTAGTCAATGCAAACTATAATGTAGACAAAACTCCTGGGGAATTAACACAATTTAGGATGGAAAAAAATAGCAATAGTTAATTTTCTAATGGTGTGTATTGTTGGTACCTTCTAATGAACAGAGTGAGTATTTAGTAGTTTGAACTTTTTGTTTTAGAAAGGGAAGAAGTAGTAGTTTATAAAAGTTTAAGTTCATAAGTAATGATTTTGAGAACTGGAATTCACTGTTAGCATACTGTGAACATTAATTAGTGTAGATTGACAGTGTGGCCTTTGAAAGGGAGACTTGGATGCATCCATCCATCTGGGGAATCTCCAGTAAATGAATGTCACTGTCTACAAGATAAAGACTTTTGTGTTTGAGCAGTGTTGCTGTGTAATGTCTTGTTCCCCCATTTGGCCATTTTTAGGATGACATTGACATCTCATGTACATGGTTTTGAAGTGAAAAGCTGTACTTGAGCCCATTCAGTTGTGGAAGGATGTAGAACATGTAGACAATAGGCCTCATCACCCACAAGATCCATAAATGTTTGACTTCATTAGCATTCTGCTTGACATGATTTTGGTGAAGACCTATACAACTTTATTCTCCAGGTTTTCCTTACCAACAGGATTTTGTGAAATACTGTATTTACTTAAGTATAAGACAATCCTGAATACAAGATGACTCCCCTAATAATTAGATTCTATATATGGAAAACTTATAAATTTGTTATAATTTTCTAGGTATATAATCTAATTATTGGAAGTTTGCTTTGAATTTGTCGCCATTCCACTGCCACAGCAGGGAAAATAAATGTGGAGGGTCAGGTAGTCCCCTTTGCCCACTGCCTTCTCCCAGCTTCTTCCCCCTGCAGCCCATTTCCCCACCCCCCTTATTGTCAGACCCTGCTGTCCATGAGCACATGGAAGTGAGGAGCAAATTTAAAAACACTGACCTCGAAATAAAATAGCTGTAATAATTAGACTTAATTCACCCCACATTTATGCATTTTACCTTTTTTGAAACTGCTGCAAGTTTTAGCATAGGCACTCCATAAACATACTTTTAAGTAGCACTTTTATACCTGCTTTATACCACTAATCCTATACAACAGGCTGAGAGGGGTCAACAGAGGGATTCTGGGTGAACTGTTTGGGGCCAATTGATGATGTTTGCCAGACATGTAAGGCTGGTGAAGAAGCAGGAATAATAGGAAATGGGAAAGAAAGGTGCAGCTAAGCTGTGGGAGTGAAGAAGTCAAAATATATGCAGTGTGGTTGCTCATTCTGAATTGAAAATGAGTCGGCACTGAGGGGGGCTGCACTCAGTGGCACTACCATATGTCTTATTCAGATGGTTTACACTAACCTTTCTTCCTGGTGGGTTCCCATCAGCATCTTGGCCTTTTTGGCTTAGATCAAAAGTAGCATTTTTGGCACCAAGGGGAGTGTATCAGGGCTGGCTCTGGCCCTCCCAGTGCCAGCGTGTGGTTGCTCATTCTGAATTGAAAATGAGTCGGCACTGAGGGGGGCTGCACTCAGTGGCACTACCATATGTCTTATTCAGATGGTTTACACTAACCTTTCTTCCTGGTGGGTTCCCATCAGCATCTTGGCCTTTTTGGCTTAGATCAAAAGTAGCATTTTTGGCACCAAGGGGAGTGTATCAGGGCTGGCTCTGGCCCTCCCAGTGCCAGCCTCGTATTGTAGTACTTCCAAACCCAGTGGCAGTTCCCTACAGAGGGAACCTATACCCATTTTTGAAAGGGCCAAAATAAAGGTTCCCATCAACATTTTTGGCACCAGGGGAGGGTATTGCAGTACCTCTAGGCCCAGTGCTCATTCCCTCCTGGGGGAACAACTGCCCATTTTTTTTTTAAGGGCCACATGCATGCCAAAAAAAGAAAGGGGGGGGCATTTCCCATCAGCATGTTTGCATAATATGGGACATGCTCCATGCTGGCTGCATTTAACCAGCTTCATAGTTGGTTTCCATTACTGACCAAATGCTGCTTTTGCCAGTTTAATGATCGGCTGTATATTTAATGAGGTTTCCATTTATGCAAATACAAGACGAGTGACTTTTTTCCCCATACTGTTTGGGGGAAAAGCCTTGTCTTTTACTTGAATAATTATGGTATATAGGCATGGCTCAGTTCCCTTTCCTATAGACTAGGAAATGGAGGCAAAGATTAAGTAATTTGTCCAGGGCTACACCAAAACAAATCTGGAATTTAAAAAGAGGTCTAGTGCCCAGATATCTGCCTAGTTTAAAAGACTATAGTGATTTGAACTTGTTTGTGAACAAGTTTATTAAATTAAAAGAAAGAGGTTGATTTTTTTCTCTTTAACCCTGACTGGGAGATTTTAACAGTGACTGAGTGTTTTTGCAAAGGCCACATGGCCCATAGTACTTCTGGAAATATAGTAGCCTGATTCTGCATTCTCTATACATACCTCTTATTTATGCTTGTACAGTTGGCTTCTGTTATCTGTCTTAATTTTGCTGCCAAGCAAACTCTATTCAAGTTCCAAGTTGTGTTAGCATAGGGCCAGATCTACGGAAGTATTTAGATACACAGGTTCCTGATGGTTTAGGTATCTAAATACTTTTTCTGGATCTGGGTCGTAGTGCCTAGGGCAGGCAATTATTTCGGGTGGATGGCTACTTAGGGAGGCTTGGTGAGCTGTCAAGGGCCGCACGGGTAGCCCCACCCCTTGACAGTTGACCCTGCCTGGGGTCGCCATCTTGGGACCGGAAGTCCCAAACCCTAACCCCTGACCTTTGCCACCCGAAGACCCTCCCCATGCCTCTCCTCCCTCCAAAATACTCCTTTTGGGAGGTGGGGTTGCCATCTTAGAATGAG